TCCAAAGGCGGCACACCCTGCCCTATGCGAACTGCATATCTAAAGCCGGGAGGAAATGGAGGGAAAAGTCGTCAGTCATCGGCAAATCTGCGGAACAGTTCTGTCTGCGGCCAGTCTGTAAACGCACACAGGGCACGCCTGGCCAATTCCCCCCACGGTACTCGTTTTGCACGTGCACGGATTGTGAGTGATGTGATTGGTCTCAGAGCCGTCGAGCGCAGTGAGACCGCCCCTTCATAAAAGCGCGGGAACCATACGGAAAGTCCATTTTCTCACAGCAATGTGCGTTCGATGTGCACGGTTTATTGCTGAATCCTTTCAATTAGTCTTGTCGCGTCTGCGACTTAATTGTAACATTCACATTTCATCGGACTCGAGGTCTGTCAAATGGAAATCTAACCCACTGGAGCTCAACGTTGTTTTAACGTTGAACAATTGTTGAAACGACGTCACGACGTCGTTCAACCACCAGGAAGGATTTCTCTTGCATTTCTTTGTGACGCAATCTTATGGTCTATATTTACTTGCTCGTCTTTAGCCAGATTACTTTAGCCAGATGCTGAATGAGGCAACGTTACAAAACGGCAGCCAGGAATGTTGGTGCCACAAATATAATACATATGCAGCAAACAACAACGCAAATGATAGGCCTGCATGCCTCTCACTTTCTACCTGAGAAGCTGGCACGATGCCTCTTCGAGTGTTGGCGGAATAAGTAACTGTATATAGCATTACCAATCTATTTGTACGTGATCAGCTCACTCACCTGTGTGGTCACAATTATTTTAATTTAATTAGTAACCAATATTGTGCACCGCAGCAACCTCAGCCTTTCACAGGACCATCTTCGGGCTAACATTAAAGCTTTAGTCTATAGAATGTTGAACTTTGAATTGTTTGTATTTTTTTTTTTGAATTTGAGGCAATTGTACAAGTTAAACACTTAGGCCACCATTTTAAAATTGGGAACTAAAAAAAATTTCATCCCTTGTTAGTTTGTGAGCAAAAATAACCCCCATCTATCGGTGCACAGCAGCCTCTGGCAGAGCGTGACTATCATAAAGCGATCAAGACGAAGTCAAGAAAGCAACCGAGTCCAACGTGACGAACTGAGGCAACTGTATCGTTACTTTTGCCGCCGACAGCTGACACGATTTACTTATACGAAAGATGAATCGTTATGCACGTGCGCAAGCTCAAAATTTAAAGTCTTGCATAAAACGAAAACGTGCGCTGTGCACGCGCGTATGATTGAACACACAGTGGCAAATTGAGTGGTAATCAGACTGCACACAGTGCGCAGGCACCTAATTCTTTGAAATAGCGAGCGGAAGCTATATTTAGTAATATTTCTATGACTCTTGGAATCCGTTGTCGACGGTCGAGGGTAAGTTAAAATTACTCGACCACTGATTTCACGCTTCAATCAGGGCGCGGAAATTGTCCGCGGACATTGGTTAGCGACAATCTTGATAGTATGCTCGAAGGTTTCGTTGTGGTGTGTTCAAACTGGAAATGTGAGTGGCTTTGGACTCTCTGAACAAGTTTTTTTTCGATACTTTCTAGATGTAGATAGCTTGGGTGACGCCATTTTCCCCAACAGTCCACTCCTACGCCCACTGTCCGTAGCACACGTTATTCGTCCAACCTTTAGTCTTTATTAAGTTGTGTAAATTTTCAAAATTCAGACATTTTAAAATATTTTTTTAAAAAGTGCCAATGATCCTAGCATCTGGGTGAGATCAGGTTGTCGTGGGGGCGTACTGCTTGACATATCGAGAACGAGATTAGTTAGTTAGTTTTTGTGATTCTTAATCTAGCGCATTAGTAGCACTAGGGCATCCAGGGCAAGTCTTATTGTCTTCTTGGCTACGGCTGTTTGCTGAGCGGCGCAATGAAAAAAAAAATAAAAAAGAGTTTAATTGTTACAAAACGACAGTCGTCAGACTTTTCATACCGTGATGTCAAAGATTGCAGATAAGACAGGGATTGTTGGAGTTGCGCTGTACGTTACAAATCCGAGGGAAAAACCTGCACCATTCCTCTATAGGTGTACGAGAAAGAGTAACCTAGTCCGAGTTCCCTCAGCCATCTTCCAGCATTCGAATACTTGGTCAGATTAAAACGCTGCTCTGGTTAAATTCGCTTAATCTGTCGTCTTTTCAGATAGAGTTGAGGCTGTCAGCTCTATCGAGGAATTTGCTTGTACGTTCCTTTAGATCTAAGCGACGAGATTTAAATTACAAGTACAAGTACAAGTGAACAGTCATTTCACCCAAATTCGTGGACTTTTTAGGGCAGGGGGCTGTGATACCAGGTTATGGAACAAAAGTCAAATTTATCATTTAGAATGCGAATTCCAAGTAATTGACACTGCTTATTTTAACCCAGTAGTTACAAATTAGAGCCGATTTTTGTTTTGTTTTCTATTAGCCACATACCTAGCCCCAGAATGTGAAAGTATCATATTAAAATCATATTGAATATCTAGATTTAGGGCTATCAGGGTCAACGAAAGTTTAAGGGTTACTAAGCGCACGTCGCTTAAGTATACCCTCGTAACGCAACCTCATCGTATCAGGCAATTCTAAGGGGAGGGGGGGGCGTCATAGCCGCTCTCCATTCTGTAGGCCTTATTAATTAAGGGAAGTATATGGGTCTCTGGTATAATGATTTATCGCTCCATGTTAAGGGCCCGGAAGAACACTCCTCCCTGACCAGCAAATTTCGAAGAATCTTCTAATAAGTAGACTGAAGGCCTGTCCTCTTAAGATGCACACTAGGGAAACTCCTTGAAAGCGTCTACATCCTTTTGTTTGCTATGTGTGTTGCTGATTACGGTAGGTAGGCGCGTACACTACTTGCAATGAAGTAGACTCAAGTCAGTATTAAAGTAACAGCAGCGGATACCCCCCCAAGTTTAGGTTACTTTGAGTCTAACAACCAATCAACATAATGTATTTTTGGCATGTGACATTCAACGAGCAGAGGTGCCTAGTTTTCCTGTTGAAGCCTGGAATCGCTTTATATATATGGTATAAATTTTAAAGGCAGAATCGATAATATTCATGGTATAAAAGGCGGAAACATTCTCCATTCTTCTTAATGTAAGAACTTGTCCCAAACAGACATGTGTTGTCTTCGGCTTTACCAGTGGTAAAACCAAAGCAGGTTTGTTTTCTTTTAGCCAGAACCTCATTTCGTGGCTGCGGGTGATGCGGTCTGGAAACTGCCCAACATCAAAGATGGCGGACCGCAGAGGACAGTGGGAGACATGACGTAGTTTGCACTGGAGCTTGGTCAAGCAGAAGCCGGCAGAATGCTTCCGCTCCTGCGGAGGCTCTCCATGAATTTATCGCCATCTCGATTCCCAATTGGTCGGTGCTTGAGACAGTATAAATTCGGCGCTCTGTCTGGCACTTGCGTCGAATTTTTCTTGTCTCAATCCAAAACACAAGACTAGTGTCTGTCTTGATTTAAGGTTCCTTTTTTCCCGTAATTCTTTAATGTTGTGTGACGTTGGTAACGCCAATTAATCACTGGAGGCACGGTATTTTTAATTTTGGGAAGAATGCTGCCCCAAGTGTGTTGCACAATCCTTGTACTTTCACCCCTGAGGGGATTTCCTGCAAGCGATTGGCATTTATCATCATGCATGCCATCACCGTCCCACTTCGAACCCAAAATATCTTAACGAGCGATGCGTCAAACGCACGGCTGTATACGTATAGTCGCGCTCGGAATTAGGGACAACAACTTTTCAAGTGTGGCGTTTCGTGTACGCGATTTCAAACTGTTCGCACCGGTGTCAAGACAATGTGCCGGCAATTAAAAAAACGGACGTCATTGCAAATCCGATTAAAAAAATAATAACAAGTTGAGATACTGCAACTTGGTTAGTGGTTTGCGTATGTTAAATGACGTCATTCGCAGTGTCTTCAACTGTTTATGAACTTTTAATTTTGTTCTGTGAAACTCCCATTATTTTGGTTGGAAGAATTATCTGCTGCGAGCAGAACCAACCCCCTCATCGGTTGAAAAGAGCCGTGTCGGTCAGGAGTATTCATGTTGTTGGTAGCGATGCGACAGCAACACTTGCGTTTCCTCCTCGTTCGTGAACCAGCGCAGCAGCGATGCGCAGTTAGTACCAAAAGAGCCTCCGTAACCGTAGAAATAGCGCCCTCTCATGGTTCAGCCTGAGGCCCATAGTTGCTGGTCCCTATTTCGAGGGGAGTTTTCACAGAAAGCAAACCTTCGAATCTGCGTACCAGCGGCAGGCCGTTCGAAAAGTAAGACACTGGGTATGGCGTGTTCAGTGTATCTACAGATTACAGCCAATACCTTCAGCGTGCCCGAATGTGCACTCATGTTACAACAAAACACGGAATTATCCGTAGAGCATAATATTGTTGGAAAAATCCTTACTAAGAAGCTTGCGCGTCCATTTATCGCTCTAGTCTTAACTTGACTCGTTCGCGTTGAAGCTGAGTTACAGTAATTTGACCCGAGAGTATTTTAATGTAAATAAGACGCGTGTCACGTATCTCAGGCGTATCTGAAGACACTTGGAACACGATCTGTAAGATTCTTCCCGCTTTCCGAGATCATTACTGAATTTAATCATAACTTGTCATCGCCGGCATTGCGTTTTGCCTCGTCTAAGGTAGCCTTCAAGGATTCGACGAGCTAATTACAAGGAACCGAAAGTAAGACTAATACAGGTGCCCTAGGGCTTGTACAGGCAGGAACTTGTTTGCCAATGGTGAATGGCCGAATTGACTCTTGCATAATTGTCCTTTTTCAGGGTTTGGTCGAAAAGAGGTTGTATTAAGGGGACTCTTCTGATATTGTCAAGTAACGCAAAGAGTCCTCGCTTCCTGGAAGTGACCTTGTTTTGTTTTACGAGGCGGTTATATGCAGAGACATGAATCGTTGAAAAAAAAAGCAGCAACAGCAGGAACAGCAGCAGCAACAGCAAAAACAGCAGGAACAGCAGCAGCAACAACAGCAGCAGCAACAACAGCAGCAGGAACAGCAGCAGCAACAGCAACAACAGCAGGAACACCCGCAGCAACGGCAGCAACGGCAGCAACAGCAACAACAGCAGCAGCAAAAGCAACAACAGCAACAGCAGCAGCAACAGCAACAACAGCAGCAGCAACAACAAAAACAGCAGCAACAGCATCATTAAGAACAGCTGCAGCAACAGCAAAAAAGCAGCAACAACACCAGCAGCAGAAACAGCAACAACACCAGCAGCTGAAACAGCAACAGCATGCACAGCAGTTGCAGGAACAGCAGCAGCAACAATAGCATCATTAGCTGCAGCAGCAACAGCAGCAGGAACAGCAACAGCAACAATAGCAGCATTAGCTGCAGGCAGCAACAGCAGCAACAGAAGCAGCAATAACACCAGCAGCAGAAACAGCAATAGCAGCAGCAATAGCAACAGCAGAACAGCAGCAACAGCAACAGCAGCAACAAGACCAGCAACAACACAAGCAGCAGCAACAGCAGGAACAGCAGTATCAACAACAACAGCAGCAGGAGCAACAGCAGGAACAGCAACAACAGCAGCAACAAACAGCAACACCAGCAGCAGCAACAACTGCAGCAACAGCAGTAGTAGCAGCAGCAACAGCAACAACAACAGCAGCAGGAGCAACAGCAGGAACAGCAACAACAGCAGCGATAGCAACAGCAGCGGTGGCAGAAGCAACAGCAACAACAGCAGTAGCAGCAACAAAGGCATAAGCAACAACAGCTGCAGAAACAACATCAGCAGTAACAATAGCAGCAAACAGCAGCAGGAATAACAGCAGCAGCAACAAGCAGCATCCACAGCAGCAGCAATAAGCAGCAACAGCAACAACAGCAGTAGCAGCAACAACGGCATAAGCAACAACAGCAGCAGAAACAGCAGCAGCAACAGCAGCAGCGGCAACAACAGCAGTAGTGGCAACAGCTGCAGTTGTGGCAACTGCAGCAATAGCAGCAGAAACAACAGCAGCATGCATTGGTGTGCCTTCCACACCTTCGTGAGTTCGATGCTGGTTGGAATCAATCCCAAACAGTGCACCAGTGTTGATTTTGCTATTGGTTGAACGAGGTCTTTCTTATTCCAAAAAAAGTCTTCCTAGACTTATGCGCTCAGTTGTGAAGCTATTACGTTTGCTGAAGTCTGCCTGCCACTGAACAGCTTGAATATAAGCAGTAATCTTGTTAGTAATGTCGGAATGGAGTCCGGACTCGGACTGGAGTCCGGACTTGAGTCGAATTTTTTTGGACTCGTGACACGGCTCGGACTAGGGTCGCTTTGGACTCGGCTTGGCTCGGACTCGACTAGCGGCTGATTCAGACTACTAACCGGACTTGAATCAAGTCCATTCAAAACTGTTTATAACATTCAGAAATTTCATTGGTAAAACTGTCCACATCTCTCATCTGTTGTCAATAATTGCTGGCGATTCAGCAGAGTTGCCTGTCCAGTGCAGCGTAAAAACATTTTTCATGAAAGTTTGACTTGCTCACAGTTAATCTTGTTTTTGTGGCTTGCGCCTGACTAAATGAAACCGCGTAAAGTAATATGCAAAATTGACTGGCGTCCTGTCCACCTTTTTATACACACGCAGGTACATAACAGGTACATGTTACTGTACATGCACCGCACATGTACTCATCACGTTTAGTCATTAAGTCATTACCCTCACTGTCAGTTGATCAAAACATAATCTGTTTTGGCTTAACAACAAGCAATCAAGAAGCAACCGGCCTTCGAAAAGCAAAATACAAATTATGTAGTAGCGTATGCACTGAGAAGTTGGGAACAAGTTTGTGCGGCACCTTCGGAGCAAGCATCTTTCAAAATCAGTAGGCCTACTATACAGTCTACAAATAGGGCGCCGGTTATCTCGGTCCGTAATCAACTCGTTCCGAGTCAACTCGGAAATACTGTACTTACATTTCCTGTAGCCAATAGTCAATAATCAATAGCCAATAACCAGGCCTTTATGACCGAACTGACAAAGAACAGAGTATAACCGACGAAGTCGCGTCCAAGTTAAAAGCAATCAAATTTTCCAAAGGGACGTACCGAGTTGACATTTTTTCCAGACCTTGGATATAGTTACTTATGTAAGAACTGATCCCGCTTGTCAAATTTTGGGCTGAAACAGAAACTTCTGAATGAATCCTGCGCGTGGCACAGCGGTGTATACCTTGTTGTTGTGTTGCCAAATAACCTTGGTGTCCTTCAATTCAAATAAAATCTTAGGACTTGACAATATGGACTCGGACTTGGCTCCGACTCGGATTAGATGGACTCGACTCCATCACTGGATCTTGTCATTCCGCCTGAAATGTTTTGTACCGCGGACATTTTTTTTCTCATTAGCTTTCCAAGCTTCAATCTGTCTGTGTAAAATGTTTTAATTTGTCACAGCGATGAGGAGTACATGAATTGCTGCCATCTTGGCGTTTCCTGCAATCTCTGACGCGAAGACGACTGACATCGATTCGATTACCAGGATCAAATCTGAGGAATCGATGATGTTTTGGTGGGGCATCCGTGTGCCGGCCAGGGTCGATTCCTAATTACACGCTCTGAAGGTAATTACATTGCGACCGAACGCATCCGCCGTCCCGCCCGAGCAACCAGAGGACAAACATCGCCCCAAAGCGAGTCGGGCTAATTCGATGTAACAAAACTAATGGCGGCAATGCAGGAACGATCAATTACCAAGTACTTACAAAGTTAATAAATAACGCGCGAGTGGTGATTTTTTTTTATCTGTAAGGATCGGCTTTGTTTCTCCCTCTTTCATTTCAGAGGATATTACCCATCAACCACCTCAATGAAAGTTCATGCCGGTCTCTAATTTGGTGGTTTGATTTTGGGACAGGCGTCCGGCAGCTGGTGATAAGATGGATGGGTCTGTATTTTCACGAGCTTTGTGATTCTTCCACAGATGTGAAATCGTCCAAGGAGGCTGTGGGAAGAAAGGAAGCGGTCCGTTTGGCTCCAGTATCAAGGAAGCAAGAGAGACACAGCACATGACGTCTGGCCCGCGGAACGCTGTGTCTGGGTGGGTGACAATGGCGTGCTGAACCATTGAAGACTACGTTTGGCGCACATGCTCACGGTACAGTGAGGCTTCTTCAAGGTGGGGGGTGACATGGCTTCGTTCGCCGCTCCGGGAGGAGAGTCCTCCAGCAGGGAGAACTCGACCTCGGATTACTCCTACGACTACTTCAGCGAGTTCGACTGGACGGTCCTGGGGCCGTCCACCGCCACCTACGCCGTCATCTTCCTTCTGGGATTGATAGGGAACGGCATGGTAATCTTCGCCGTTCACCGCTGCCGGCGCCTCCACACCGCCACCTGCCTGTTGCTTGCCAACCTAGCCCTGGCGGACCTCCTCTTAACCCTGCTCCTCGTCCCCACGAAGTTAGCTGTGGGAATTCTCAGCCACTGGCCGCTTGGTGAGGCAATGTGCCGCATCGTAGCCTTCGTCAACGCCTTATCCCCAACCTGCTCTATCTACACCATGGTGGTCATTGCACTTGAAAGGTAGGCTGCTTTCCGCCTTTTTGATTCCACGTGCCGATTGTTCATTATGCAGAAACTGTTCTTTCTTAAGGCGTAATTTAGCCATTGCGGTCCAATCTGTTGCAACTGCTTCATCCTTCCTATTTTTGTTGTCAAATTTGAAGAAAATTGTTTGCATCTTTAAAAACTACCGACAAGTTAGAACACCAACTGAACAAACCAGTTTGGCATTCTAACTAACATCATGGCTTGATCCTTTTCAACTGACTACAAAATCGTAGAGGCTGAGTAACAACAACATGGATATGTTCCTGATGTGAAATGACAAAATTCCGAAATCGGACGGACCTCACTCTCTGTTATGGTACCGTGTCTTTTAATTCCCCTATTCATGTGCGAACTCTTACGTGTGCAGTCTTCGATTTGACCGAGAATATGTCTGTTTCAGCCATTTGCACACCTTAAAACTGACAGGAGTAATTTTTTTCTACATTTGTCATCTTAAAATAACACCGTAAAACTAAAAGTCTCGATATGCCCGCGTGCGTGCGCAGTTGGGAGACGTCAAGGCCTATTGCGCAATTCCTCACAAAATCAACTTTGGCCACAGGACGAAATAAGTAAAATCTTTTTGTATTGAAAAAGTTGTATTTTAACTCCTATGAAAGGAATTCACTTTGGAAAAATCAGTTGACGTTTTGATGCATTCCGAATAACGTGCAATCCCCATGTCGAGTCGAGCATTATAGGTTTTGGAAGTTTTGCATACGAGCAGGCTCAACAGCGGTTGTACTTGGACACGCTGGCGCACTCATAGACCTGGTGCTTATTTGAATAAAGTGGGAAGCGGGAAATTTGCTCTTCCCCAACAAGACTGGCCTGTAGCGAACAGGCTATCAGCTAACGCCATGCAGTGCGCATTGCTTTGGATTGGAACCAGCTGGTCTTTGCTGAGCAGTGATTGGTGCCGGCATTGAAGCGGGCGCTAACGTTGATGCATTATTGGCTACTTGCTTGGGAGCATGCGCACCGATGGAGTGTCAAGGTCTCCAGCATGACAGGCAAGCGGGCTTGGACGTCAACACCAACCGTGTCGACTCTATCGCCCATGTACTTCCCTAACCGATGGTGACCCCTTCCCCACCCCAGCTCCTCCCCCCCCCCCGTCGTCCCTTGCACACGTGCCGACGCAGCGGTCGTCTCATATCGAATCGCTGAGATGGAGCCGCACGCGAATTAACGTTTCATTTGAGAGAAATGGGGCGCGCCGGGCTCGGCTTACAGCGAGGGAGGGGGGGGGGTGCGGCGTGTCTCGACCGCTCCACGGAATGACGGATCTGGAGCAACTGCGGGGAGTCATGATTTAGGACCGTGAGTTTGATCGACTTGAGGCCTGACTCGCCTTGATAATGACGAAGAACGTGGCAGACGCCATGGAGAATAAATTCCCCCCCAGTAAGCTTTACGCATGGCCAACCTCGAAGCAATTCAAAAAATGAACTGCTACTTGTTTTTTACGGTACCACGTCAGAAAATAAAAAGAAATAAATCCAACGAAAGGAAACGACCTAGATCTAAAAATTAATAACCTATAAATCATTATTTCAAATCACAGGGGTCGTAAAAGTGGAGTTGGAAGCACACCAACCTGAAAATGAACGATGACAATGTCGTCATAAATACTGGGGGTGGGCACATACATAAATATATAAATGTAGTGGGGTTGGAATGATTTTTTATATATATATATATATATTTATATATATGAGATTATATATTTCTCTAATCATTCCAACCCCACTTTTTGTGTTGAACAAAAAATTCAAGCGGATTGTTAAGACTCTTCGAACTTCCTAAAGACGAAAATGTACTCAATATCGTTCAAAAACGGAAAACAATAAAAAAAGGCCATAGATATGCCATTCCGATGTAGGATTCTGCTTGAATGTAATACATATTGCAGCTGTTCATCAATATCATGGACATCACTCCCCCTCCCCGTAGTGTATGGTGTCAGCACCCACCTCCCTTTCACATTCCATGGCCGGGCATTTTACCCCCCCCCCCCAAGTCCCCCCCCTTTCAAATTTCCAGCACAAATTTATGCCACCTCCTGCAGTGCAGGAATATGGCTTACCATAATTATTGGATGAGTTACCTATTGCCAAAGTCTCGGTACGTGTCGATTAAAACAATAAAGAAATGAGCCAGCGAATAAACGAAAGCAATCAACGTCAGCGGTCAAACACTCGCCTAAGAGCAGTCGAGATGGGTGGAATAAGGGTGTCGGGTAATGATCTTTACCAGAATGGATTTGGGATCCGGGTAACGAGTCAAGCAAATTCACTGTGTGGTTCTGAGTGAATGATTCACTCAACTGAGCATGCGTCGATCTTTGCTTCATGAGCCCCAACGCACCCCTGATAACAGAAAAGATTAAAATTCACAAGAAAAAACATATACATGCAGGAAATGTTTGATTGCTATCATGGTGTTTCCATGGAGGCATTCGCTTCAGCTGATGTAGACATGAAAATTTAACTGCTGAAGTGCAATTCTGCAGATGGGATCAGGTGAGTTAATATTGCGTTGACAAAAACGGCAGAATCGCACCACCGACTCCAGCGAGCTCGGGGGTAGAATGGTTAAGATGTCTGCACTAGTAAGCAGGAGGTCGTGGGTTCGAGTCCCGCCCGAGAAAGCCTGTGAATATTTTGCAAGCTCTCGGACAAGCACTGAGTATACAGCGTTTATAAATATATGTAAATCAGGTAAGGCCCAAACCTGTAATTGAAATTAACATCTCCCCAACGCGAAGTCCATCTTTAAAACAAAAACGAAGAATCGCACAATGAATCGAAACCTAATGACTGTCGCAGTAAATGTCTGATCATATGATCATTTGAGAACAGTGTTACGTTATATATGTATGACACTTTCATCGAATTATCGTAAATATATATAAGAGAAAATTATGACAAGTGAACAGCAAATTCACAGAGATTCATATCGAGATACATTCGGCTTGGGTCAGAAGATCATTCATTATGTTAGGGGCCTAATTCATTCTTAACGTGTTAAAGGCGACCGACCATCAAACTGATACTCTGATAGAAATGATCGAATTCATTACAAAATGATACACACGTTCATCGCAAGAAAATTGGGCAACCGTCCGTTGGTGTCAAAATGTGCTGAGAACCGAATAATCCTTTCGGAGGAGACAGGATCAGAAGTGACATTCAAATGAGGTGCGGATTCTGACGAGAATTTGGCGGGCGCTAAATGCGCGTCGACAGCCCAGCGGGACGGTTGCTAATCTATCCAAACAAAAAAACGGTGTCAAAACTGGCACGTGACGAGCTGGTTTCAGTTTACCTTCTCGGCCTGAAAGTCTCGCCTGAAATCCTTGCCAAGACATGGACCACCCGCGTTTGCAGGATATGGAAGGATTTTGCACCTCTTGAGAGCCAAGAGCTCAGGCAATGGACAGTGGATATGAGGGGTCTTAACGCGATGACAGTGCTATGGCTGTCATAGGATCGACGCCTTAAAGAGAACCAGGTCTTTTGCTTAGCTCTCTCACTTTCCCTTGTAAGCTTGTGCAAAATGTATTAATATTTAATCGATTATCGAATATTCGAGTATTTACGCTTCGATTCGAATATTGTAGTTACGATGCATTTGATAAATGTGCAGAAACTCAGTTTCTTCGTAACCAAATCGCCTTCTTAAGGATTTATGATGTGATATTATTATGCGTCATTTCTTTTACCTATGCTTCTCCAGAGGCTTGGCTGGCCCAAAACTTGCTGCCTTACCGAATATTGATAGAAATTCGAACCATCAGTCATTCGGTCTGAATCACCCTTACCTGCAATCTTCATTTCGATGAATCTCATTTCGTTTGTCGTACCACCATCTGACCTATCTCAGTTTATGACATTTTGAAAAAAAATAAACGTGTTTTAAGTTGGGTCGGTGTTGAATTTTTTTCCTTTTCCCCACAATACTAACTTTTATCGACACAGATTTTGTATTTTGATAAAGTTAGATACTTAAATTAACATATGAGATATTTTGTTGGAAAAAATCTTATGTACGAGGTTAAAATGAGGCATCCAAACCATATGTCACTTTGTTCAAATTTATTGTCTTATTTTATGAGCGCAAACTGCGACCTAGACAGATGGGTCACTTCGTGGAATGAAGCATTTCGATTTCTCTGTAGCTGAGAGTGACCTGTGTCGTTTGCACATGCTCGCGCATACTAACGCATGCTCGTGCAATGGACATCATTGCTTTTAAATGACAAATGTCAGAGTTATTTCATAATCGTTTTAAAGGACAAAAGTGACTTTTAAATGACCTTAATAAAAGACTAGTAACAGCTGCAGAAAAGCACCTGGTTCAATGATGCGGAGTGCCAGCATTGCAATGCATCAAAAATCTTAGGGGAAATGCACACAAACAGTAGTGTTTTGGATTAAAAAATAAAATGTCAGACTTACTTTTACGCCTAGCTTAGGATTTCGTGTCATCGTACACACGAATGCCCATCATGATTTTATTCGAATTTCAGCATAAAAAAAGGATTCACCATAATAAAAAAAGGAATATACTTAGGTTCAGTCATTCAGTCGTACAGAAACAGAAACTCAGTTGAAATTAAGGTTCAAGGTTCAGCCACCTAATGACACGAAACAGCACTAAAGACTGGTTCCGAATAACTGAACTCCAAATGACATCGATCAGTAAAGTGGTCCTGATACCAGACTGTGTAAGTCACTTCCTGGAAATAAAACAGCGTTGTCTCAATGCTTCAGTCCCTGAAATAATAATTTTAAATTTCGTAGAGGTAGGTCAACATTTTTTGTTACCCAAACTAACTTATTTATCTTTGCCAAGCACCTACAAATTTAGAACTTTTAGAAAATAAAGATTTCATCATGCATGACAACAATATGCTAAAAACCCAAATTCGTCAAAAACTGCGATAGGTCAGATCGTCGTACGATTGA